AACAAATGGTAAACACCACAGCGTACACTATTGAGTTATGGATGCACGCGGGAGGTTGCTAAGCACGAAAGAAGCGTAAGAGTCGCTCGAGGCGATAGCCGAGAGCGACTCTAGCTTCTTGAGTGCTTAGCAAACCTCCCAAGTGCATCCATAACTCAATAGTGTACGCTGTGGTGTTTACCATTTGTTTTATAACATAACATTGATACATTGTAGCTAAAGAGTTTCCTTTTATTTAACAAATCTCACGTGACCAGAAAAAACAAGCGCGCGCGGAAAAATAGTCTTTGCATTTGCCCACGTCAGCAGGGTACACCCATGGGAAAATGGGGGACGCTAAACTGACCAATCAGAGCGCGCGCTTTACTTTGGTTATGTTATAGTTTAACTTTTTGACACCTGAGAGCGGGTAGAATCTCATTTCTTACGAAGGTATCTCTGCTGAATCAAACAATAGGCTCGTGAGAATAAAGAAAATAATCGCAAACTTAAAAAGCTCTTGATTTTTAACAAAACTCTCCTCATCAGTACTCTAGGAAATATGCTAGTTGTTTTAATGTGAAAGCGGGTGCTGGCGTCAGAGGGATAATTTCAAAACACGCACAGGTCAGTTTATTAGCTAAAGAACAAAAGAATGTTCCAAGTTCACCCAGATCTCCACATTTTAATACAGTTGCTTTGCCATTAGAATTTGACATACCATCACCGTTTCTAGCATGAGGGTCAAAAGTATAGAATGAGCCACTTGATTCACCTGCTTGTAAGTTCTGAAAGTATTCATCAATGCCGAACAAAAGGAAAGGCAAGGATAAAGGGTGTCATTCGCATTGATCAACCTTTGTCGGTGCTCTGTCCATATTTTATGCTGTACATATCACAGTCAAGGTTTTATCCTTCAAAACTCGCGAACCGCTTTTCGGCAAGACCAACACATTTTCAGGAATGTTCAACGTCATTGTGCTTGAGAAGTTTTCTTTTCAGTCAGAGCTTGAAAAATAAATGGACTCGATGATCGAATGGATTGCTCTCCACGGATGAAATCGACGCAAAATTTGTCTCAAAGCCCATACAGTCATTTGAGTTTGCAGTTGAATGTTTCGCGTCAACGAGCGATCCAGGATAAGGATAAGGATAAGGATAACTTATTTAATGTCAAAAAATACACAGAGAGTGGTCGCCCAATCCCCCGAGCCAGAGGCTCAAGATAAAAGTGTTTGACAATATAAAAGAAAACTAAAATTGTAATAGCACCGATTAAATTAGAAATAATGTATATCTACAAAAAAAAAAAGAAAAAAACCAATCAAAGGTAACCACTGCATTGACAGCCGATAAAATTTAACTTAGTTAAAAGTCTCCAGAAGGATGATGCCTTAGATGCATTTTTTACAGCAGACGGTAACTGGTTCCAAGTACGTGAGATCAAATACGCGTATGAGCCATGAAGGAATCTGCTATTATATGAAGTTTGTACTACGTTTAGACCACTACTTCTAAGATTATATGGTGTAACTCGGGGTTTAAATAAATCGGCTATATAGTCTGGACCATTCTCCCTAAAACATTAAAAAATATTATCAAAAATTGTTCAATACGTTTATGTTCTAAAGTATTCATGCTTACCATCCTAAGGATTGATTCATAATCCGTACTTTTTCCCAAACTCGTTATAGTTCGTAGACCATAATAGTTGGCATCTTCCATTTTTTTGTTGAGTGTTTTACATATACTCATAAATAAAGAGTTGCAGTATTCAAAATGTGATAATACAGAACTCTTGTAAAGAAGTAATATGGTATTTGCCGGTACTAAGCGCTTAAGGAGGCGAAGTGCGCCTATCTCAGAATATACTTTCTTTAACATGATATTTATATGTTCCTTAAAAGATAATTTGTTATCTAAACATATTCCAAGGATCTTTAGGTGGTCTTTAATATCGACGGGAG